TAGTGAAAAAGAAGGCTGAAAAGTTGCCCTTTTCTGAACTTTGAAGGGCCGTAACTTTGTAAATAAGGGAGAGCGCCGCTTTTTTCTTTCGGATTCGTAATCTACGCATCAAAATACGTAAGTACACTAAAAAAAATTTTCAAAATCGTCGGGTGTCCTCAAAACGAAACTTTACCAAAATAAGTGTTTTCATTTGTAAGGTCTCTCGGAAGTATGGCAATAAATCCCCTCTTGTACTTTTGGAAAGTTACTTTTAAGATGCCTAACAACAGCTAAGGTGACCTGAAAAAGGTCAACAGATCAGTGTGAAGACATTAGTTATATGATTACACCCGTGATCAATTTACTACAGGCAATAGCCGGAAGAATTGTCGGCATCAACAAGAGACTTGAAAAATGTACAATCACCTTTACCTTGTACAGCTATGATTCCAAACTAAGTAACCAATACCATCACAACAAAATAAAACACAACGTACCTTTTATCGCTCCTCTTCACAGCTGCATTTCACTGAACTAATTTTAAAAACAACATGGCTGCCTGGTTTTGTTGACTACTTTATCGCCGATATTTCCTTATCAAAGTATGGTCATTGTGGAAACATCGGACATGCTACACAAAACATCCAGTCCTATTGTTTCAGATACTTGTATTGTTTTTGTCGGTGTTCTTGCTTCGCGGATGAAATTGTGAGAAAAAAATTGAAAAAAAAATCGATTAACACATACAGAAGATTGTCCCAATGATGTTCGGGAAATGTATGAAAAGTCTACTATTTTCCAATACTTTTATTACTCAGAGTTTCATCAATTTGGAAATTGTGGCGTAACATGAAAGAGTACTCTTTCCGTACCAGAACATAAAAACTGTCTTTCGACGCGCGTTTCGCTGGCCAAGGGAGCCTTATCAGGAGATGACTGAGACAGAATATTTGTCGTGGTGCGGGAAAAGTGTTTTCAATAGATTCAGATATTATTTAGCATCATGAAGGTGACACCCCAAGATCATCTCTACATCTCGTCCTATAATTTTTTACACTGATGTTTTAGAAAGTTAAAAAAATTAAAAGATGTTAATAAATATAAAAAATTGTTCAAATGTGTTTTACTCTATTCGTATTTATACAGGGTGTAACTAAATAAGTGTAAACCATTTAAGGAGGTGATTCCTCATCGAAAAAAAGATAGGATCTTTCATTGGAGCATCCCTTGTTAAGATACAGCCCCTCAAAGGGGGTACATGAAATTTGTTCAACAATTTTTTTCACAAGCACTAAAAAAGTTACACTATTGAAATTAACCTGACGTTTTGTACTACCAAAAAGACACTTACAAACGAAAAGAAGAGGTAATTTTATTTNTTTGTGAATAAAGTTATATTATTATTATAAGTGAAATCTGTCTATCCGTACTCAAAAATATACGAAACAGACCTAATAATCTAATCAATAGTAACGAAGCCTACCATCAATCGAATTGAAACGAAGACCCGAACCCCAAAATGGTTACTTCTTGAGTAGCTAACCCCATGGAGATGTTGACAACACCCGGGGATGAGATATTTTTTAAGACAAGCTTAATTTTATTGAGAATATTTTTCAGCCAGACTATCTCTTTTGATGAATGATATTATGCTAATGGACTGATTCAACTCAACTCCGCAGTCCCAGTGCCGAATATAAATAAGCAATTTCACACGAATCCGACTGCTTACACTAACAATCAATCAGTTGACACAAAATAAAAATAACCATTCCAATTTGAGCACAGGCTCATTTAAAACTATAACAAAACATTTTCCTTGGCCACGTTCTGTTTCCGAAAATAACCCCGTCTATTGTCAACGCCTAAAAATAGCATCGAAGAAGCATGTGAAAACAATCGACCTAAACCCCGCATCGATTGTCGTTTGTCACAATTAACGCACCAACAATTTCATCAAACAGTCGGTGCTACCAACATGCCAATGAGTCGGTTTGCGTCACAGCATTCTCTTGACCTTTTTTTGCGACGATGATGAATGGTTATGCCGAATGCATCCCAAGTACCACATTAAAGCAAGCGTTTTGCATAATGAACACTGATACGAGGAATAGATGAAAGTCGATTAGGTTTTACAATCTGATCCTTTTCATGAATCGCGATTGAATAGCTGGCACTTTGTGCCATTTCCTTTGTGACCTTTTCGATCACCAGATTCTATAAAGCCTATAAAGCAGAACTGGAAGATCGCTTAGACAGGATGGGTTTTGGATTAAGAGATTTGATACTCGTAATGTTAGAGTTGGCAGCAGATCGATTACTAGGAGTTATTGTCTCTAAATGCAACGAACAATGTACCACAGTTTGCCAACCAAGAATGATCTCTGGTGAAATAGAGATCTTGAACGGATAAGAACAACCTACAGAAACCTTCAAAAGTGTAAGATCACGTGTAACGGATCAATTTAAAGAGTCCCCAACTGAATACAACAAAGTCATCAGAAAATCTAATAGAGATTCGTGGAGAAGGCAATACGAAAAAGTCGAATCGACTGAATTATATGCCAAACTCTGTAAGATTCTCTCGATGGGACCTCAGCAAGGTTATACGAAGATTATAATCTTGCGCAGGTCCCAATAACATTAAATTGCCGCAGGTCCCAATAATACCCGGGAAGTACACACAAATAGGTGGAAAAACCCTTAAGAAAGCTTTTTCTGGTGCACTTCCCCAGATAAAAAATAACCATTATTTGATACCGAAGTCCTGGACATGAAATCTTTGGGGCCAAATGGCATTCATCCAGTAATTATTGGAAAAAGACCAGAACCTCTACTTCAAAAGTAGTGTATAATACTCAGATCAATCTTGGCTCTAGGATACCTACAAAAAATATGGAGACTGATTACGACAGCGCCTCTTTTCTGAAACGTGGAAAAATAGAACGTGACTTGGCTAATGCCTTGATACCAATTAATCTCATGTCTCATTAGAAAAACTACTTGACCTATTACTGACTAACAGATCACTGCATCAAGTCCAGTTTGATAGATTTATCGATGGAAACATTGGACAATGGGGCTGAAACCAGACACGATGTATTGGCTCCACCCAAAGGTGGTTAAATCCAAGTTATATTCTTCTTTGGTTTGGTGGCCAAAGATGAAACATGCGAAGTGCAAGGTTCGATTTCCTAGGGACTAACTCAAACGTGGCATCAAGGCAGGTCTGAGAACGCCTTGAAGAACTGAAGAAACTAGCGGACCGGAACAAATTGAATCTTATACTGCGTGCCGGGAATCTCAGGAATCAAGACAACGAAACAGCTGATGAGTGTACTACATACGGATATAATCAATTCCATATAATGATATGTTGGCTCTGAATCCGACGTGTGGGTACCAATAAATACTGTATGAGACCAGGTGAGGAAATATATTAATAACACAAAGAAGAAAATCTTCTCGAGGTGCACACTGGAAAACCTGTGTGACTGCCTTAATTAAGAACACCAGCGATATTTCTTGAATAATTTCAGGGATGCTCACTGGACACGTTTCATTTCGAGGACATCTAAACAAAAAAAAACGGTATTACCGTGGAATGGAATCAAAGAGGATGAGTTCCTAAAACCAAATTTAGTTCTTGGGTAAACACCATGTTCATCGAAAGTTACCAAATCGGTTTATCAACGCTAAAAATTTCGAAAAGAAGATAAGCGTTATAAAACCGGTTTTATTGAGTGGTGTTGATACCTACTTTAAGCTATGTAATAATGCAGTTATTTTATTTTAAAATAATAGCAAACTAGACTGCCTGCTTGACTTGATAACAATAACTCAAGCGGTGTATGAAAACGGAAGGGAAACTATTTAAGTTGCGATGCGAGATAAGTAAAATGAGGAACAAAATATATTAATTAACGGCTCTGATATCATCCAGTTAAATGATTCTTCTGATCGTTTATGGCTGCAGGGAACTTTTTCGAACAAAACTACTATTCACTACCACGACCAAAGTTTTTATCTTCAAAAATAACATCAAGGATAACAGCATTGGGGTCAACATGTAAATGTATTATTTTTAATTTGTTCACAAATACGTTCAAGTCAAAACACTTTTTCTCTTGGTTCTCTGAGACGTTTCATATTGAATTGAATGGGTATAAAGTTTTAACCACATCCACAAAAATATTAAATTATTATTTTTTGCTTTAAAGAATTTTTATACATATCATCTCTGGCTTGGTGAAATAAATGCAATGTATCAGTTTTCCAGGTCGTCTGAATGGGTGAAAATATTTACAGGATGGGTTTTGGATTAAGAGATTTGATACTCGTAATGTTAGAGTTGGCAGCAGATCGATTACTAAGAGTTATTGTCTCTAAATGCAACGAACAATGTACCACAGTTTGCCAACCAAGAATGATCTCTGGTGAAATAGAGAAAATGTATCAGTTTTCCAGGTCGTCTGAATGGGTGAAAATATTTCAATTTTAATTCATTTGCAGTGATATGATGTTTTCAATTTCCACCCCCTTAGAAAACTTCATTTCCTAAAGGCACCAACTTGGTTTATGAAACGCGCGTTAAGAAGAGTATTGCATTTCTGATGAATGTAAAAAGTGATTGTTTTCGAAAGTATACGGATAATGAATTTGAAAATTCAACTTAACTCTTCAAGATTTGTACAAAAAACAAAATATATGTCCAACAGAAGCCGAAACTCTCATCTTCGAAGTATGACTGTCAATAATTGTGACATTTGGTGTGAACAGCTAGTAGGAATTCCTTTTTTTTTTTCAATTATCTATAACTATCGCTTACCGTTGATATGAAGCAGTCCAAAATAGGTGTGTTTCTTGACTCAACATCGTTGGGTACATCGACGTTAGGCACTAAAGAAGTTTTCTCATCCTGTAAAAAGATTTGTTAGCATTAGTTAAACTAAGTATTCTATTATTTTTTATGAAATAAAATCCGAAATCATCTCCAGATCTTTAACAATTTTAATACAACCTAGAGGTGTAATGGTAGGGAAAAGAAAGAGAAATGGGATGACTTGATGCCATCTTGATTTAGTGTAATGAGTATTGATTTTCTTGATGATTCGTTGTTGACTGATGTCTAAACGGACACATATTTGGTGGTGAGTTGCTTGGTATCTAAAGCGGTTAATCAAAACTTTACAAAATCCACAATTCCACCACTAACACAAGCGGATGGTTCAATTGCAACAGCAGCCATAGAAAAAGCAAATCTTCTAGCTGAACAATTTGCGTTCCACTCCACAGTCGATTTTCTTGGAAAGGCGATACCTGCCATTTCCACACTAGAAGCCACAATATCGGAAATTAATTTTCGACAACGTCTAGTCAGGCGAATTTTGAAACAGCTCAATATCATCAACAAGGCGTCTGGTCCTGATGAAGTGCCCGTCATCGTACTTAAAATGTGCGCAAATAAACTCGCACCAATCCATATCCTTAAATATTTGGAAGGCTTTAACATTTTGAGCGACCATCAGTATGACTTTCAGAAACAAATATCAAGAGGCGACCTTCTATCGCATGTCACCCTTAGTTGGAATAACGCAATTTCGAAACATGGAGATATGGAGGGTTTGCTAGCCAAACTTCGATGCTATGGATTGTCGGATCAATTTTGTATATAGCTCTCCAGCTTCCTGAAAGAAGGTTCCCTGCAAGTGGCCATCGATGAATATCTGTCGAATACTTTTACCATCAACGCTGCTGTTCCCCAGGGATCCATATTGTCTCCAACCCTCTTTTTATAAACGACTTTTTGGAAAATATAAAGAATCCAATATATTGTTTTGTTGACGAGAGCACACTTGTCTCGTCATTTCATTGGGATTCGCTCATTTCGCAAAGGCACCACCCTTGGAACGCCTTAAGAATTTTCCTGTAGTGCTTGTGTTTTGTCCTTGAAAAAATCAGGCATTCGCTATTGAACCAAATGTCCAGAAAAGTGATTTTTCTTCTTGACAAGACCTTTCTGTAGTGCTTAACTGGAATGTTGTCAACGCTAGACAGAGTATATACTACTCAAAAATGTTATTATTGAAGAGTGTTTGTGAAGTGACAATGGGGAATATTCCTCAATTTGGGTTATTACAGCAAATGCAAGTTTTAAGAAAATAAAGTTTAGTTTAATTCATGAGTTTTTCAAATTCACTTCGAAAAGTATTCAAATTGATGTTTCAAATGTTGGCAACAGCGCCTATATCGAGTGGAAATAATTTATACGTACCTAGATATTTTACTTTAAAAAAGAAAAATTATCTTTATAAATCAACAATTAAGGCAAAATATAAATTATAGTTCAATACCACCTCCACAAGCCACATAAACAACAGTTGTTTTGTTATTTATTTATATAGAGGAAGATAGGTTAGGTGCACAAAATGTCATATGTCACAGAATGTGACAAAGACAAGCATGCTGTCGTTTGGTCTTTGCTAATAGGTCATTTATGTAAAATAAAAAAATTGCATGAAAGATTCAAAAATTTGCCTGAAACCGGTGCTATTTTAAGATCATTGGGTGGAATATCTTCACCCTTGTTAAGCCGACTGAACCACATTGGATGTTTACAATCATTTCTAGTCCACAATTTTAGGCCAATTTTCTACTTACTCTATTCCTGAATTTTTGCTTTTCATTCATTAGTGAATGCCATTCTTTTAGACTCCTATGGGAATTTTTCATGTCTATGATGTTTTACGTAAAGTTGGTCAGAACCAAATCGAAATCCTTAACTTTTTTGGAAATTTTGAATTTGCAATAATTTTAGGTTTCTTCATTATCCTATTGATCAATATTTTGCTTCCCGTTTGAATTAAATATTTGGGTGACTACCTCTGGCACACATGGCAGAAGCGGTAATAATTTTTTGGAAACATTCTTCGTATGTGGGGGAGATAAAAATATATTAAGAATTTTAGGCCCATTTAAGGTTAAAAATAAATTGATGGATGTAGCCGTTACTACGTGGTAGGAAATCGTCCTATAGGACGAAACTGCAGTAACGTTAGTTACATCATTTCAGGTTCCTATTTCCCCTATAGTTAATTTCCCATGTGTGGTTTTGAAAAATCAATGGTTTCTACTAACTTTACCGTAAAAGTGGCATAACCAAAACGAAATTTTTGGAAATTTTTGCTACTTTTTAGTACTGTATTGAACAATTTTTTTGCTCCCCGTTAGAAATCAAAATTTCATTGATTACATAATTTCCTGAAGACGCCAAGTTGGTTGGTGAAACGTGCATTGAGAAGAGTATTGCAGTTCTGGTGTTTGGGAACAGTGCTTGTTTCAAAATTATCATCAGCTTTCATCAATTCCAGGAAAATTCAAAATTAATGTTTGAATCATTGAAACGCTATATTGATGAATATGCTCGACATTTTTGTCAATTTTTTTTCAACAAAAATCGTAAAAGTTAATCCCCAAATTGAATGTTGTTAAGTCTAATGCTGCCTAACAACTAGGTCATTGATAACATTACTTTTTACTAGTTTCCACACAATTCTTTTGATTTTGTTCTTTAAAGGGCACTTCGAACTTCTCTTCTAAATTGTATATATGTTTACCCTTATAATATTCTCAGTTTGGATCTTGTCTCAGTCAAGATAGGAAGTAGATATTAAAAAGGCTGTAAAAATATTTTAATAAACATTTCTATACGAGAAGTTTGCTTGAAAAAGAAAATCTTTGAAATTTGTACGTTGAGGTGTAGTTTAATATAATGAATGATACATATTCCAAATAGAATATAATCAATTTTCTTTCAGATTCAGTTCAAATATTTGGAAGTGTTCATCCGTTCCCGAACAACGACAATTCGGAGAATATCAACACAACAACTAACAATAACATGAATTGGAGTTCAAATATTACACTCATAAATGCAAAATCAATCAAAGAAAGTGTGGAAAGTCCATTGCTCTTTCTGAATTTAAGAAAGTACCAGCAATAATGTTTACAACATACAACATAACCCCAAAATCTCTCTTACCTCAGCCAAGGCGTTAATATAAAATGAAGACGAGTATGTTTGCGGCGGAAAATTCGTAGTAGAGTCCGACATAATCACTGACACAATTATGCACACTTTCACCGGCAATCAGACCGAGTTTTCTCGAAAAAACAACGCGAAATAGTTTTTCAGCTGAAACACGACTTCATCTTGACACTTCGAAGAATTTCTGTGCGTTTGTTTTGTTTGCTGCGATTGCGTCTATCGAGAGCTTTCGATATTCAAACACGCAAGTCCCGATGCACTGGGATATGCGACAGTTGATTGAATAAGGCCGGCCGCACACTGACAATTTTCTTCATGAAACTTTTTATTCATAAAAATATTTTCTGAAGGAGTTGAAAGGTGTGTAGTTTTAAGGAGGGATCAAGTACTAATATTAAATTGATATTATATTGAGTTGCTAAACCTAGCCTAACCTCAATATAATATTAACTCAATATTGGTACTAGTCATTAGAGGTTTGATTAGAAGAAAATAAGAAAATACATTGATAGGTGATTGTGAAAAAGAATCAAAGTACTGTTAGTTTACTAGGTTTTCATTTGGCTTACGTTAGGTTCACTAGATTTCAAATGTCTTTCTCGATAATTATCCAAATAAACCTGTTTTAACCTGTGTTTCATAGCTGTCGTCATCCAAATGAAGTGGATTTTGAAAACTGGAACTGTTTAGGGTTTTAAGGGAGGTCCTAAGGCGAAAATTTTGAAGTTGCTTCCTAGGTTTGACAAGCTGTACTTGGGCCTGTTCGACCTCCTCGCATTACCCACTTCGTGAACTTCTCTCAGATTTTTCTCAGGATTTTGTTAGGGACATTTTGTATTGATCCCGGAAACCTGATTGCCTTGTCCTTTTGAGGCCTTTTTAGTCTGTTGACTCATCCGTGTCAGATCTTTATTGCACAAGGAAACATTCCAGTTTGATCTATGGTTGATTGATGCTGTTGATTTTCTGTTCAAATTTTGATTTTTCGTCTATTTTCAGCTTATACTATATGATGTTGATCGATTTTCTGCCAATTTTTCTCTGCGAATTCAAATTGAACCAAAGGGCAGCCGAATCAGCCCAAAAAATCAACCAGGCATTTGGCAAAGATAGTGTTAATGAAAACAATGTTTGAAGTTGGTTCACGAAATTCCGTTCCACGTTCTTCGAAGATGAGCCTCGAGGTGGTGGAGCTATAGTAAACCAGGACAAGAATTGGAGGACCCTAGTGGAGACTGACCCATCACAAATAATACGTGGGTTGGCGAAAGAGCTGGGCGTCAGCTCCCATGACCAAAAGGTGAAAAATCTCTAAAGGTGGGTGCCCACAATTTGAACGATCTTCTTTGCTTTTGCGCAATCAAAACGATTTTTTTTTGGATCGGATCATCACGTGTGATGAAAAAAAAATATCTACGACAACAGGAGACGTTCAAGCAGTGATAGAACATCAATATGAGCCACCCAGGCACTTCCCAAAGACGAAAACCCGCCAAAAAAGACCATGATTACTGTATAGTGGCCAGCGATTGGTGTGATTCACTATAACTCACTGCAACCAGGCCAAACCATCACAGCAGATGAGTCCTATTGTGTTGAAATCGACTAAATTTACCGAAAATTGCGTCAGCAGCAGCTAGTACTGGTCAACAGAAGAGGTCAGATCTTACTCCACGACAACGCCCGCCCAATGTTTCACAATTCATCGTTCGAAAATTAAACGAATTGTGGGTCGAAGTTTTGCCTCACCCACCATACTCCCCACACCTCTCACTAATCGAATACCATCTTTTCAAGCACTTCGATAACTTTCCCACTAGTAAAATCTTCGCCAATCAGGATCAGACAAAAACAGCCTTCGTCGATTTCATCGAATCCCGAGCACACAATTTATATGCTGACTTAATTAATAGACTTCTGTCATGTTGGCAAAAGTGCACTGATTGAAATATTGCTTGTTTTGATTAAATTGGATAAGTTCAAAGTAGACTCATAAAAACGGACAAAACTTTTGAAACATACAAATACAAAACCATCCGGTCTAAAGAAATTCACAGGTCTGCCCTATAGGCTTCCCAGTTTATTTTTCGGGGGTTTTATATGCCGATGATCTGAAACTTTTTTCATCAGATATATTCCAATTCTCCCTACTTCTCGTATTAATTAAGGTAAGTTCATTGCCTACGTTTAAAATATCTTAGTTATTATTCATGAGAACGTTCATTGGTGTCACTGCTCCCTCAGGTCAGGTGGTGTGCATTGGCATCTCAGCCAATTATGAGCTCGTGCAGACCTTCACTAGTTCGTCAACATCTCTGATTGACAGCATTTCCTGACTATCCTAAGAAAGGCACGCTGTCAACAGCCATCTTGGGTTCCAACAGGTTGGAGCCTGGCTCCCTTACCCTTTGGACTGAGGTTCGTCAGGAAGGCAAACGGGTCAAAAACTGATTGTATGAGATGACGGCATGAATATCCTCAGACATCAGTGCCGTCCTTCACGTGAACCACTACCTGGCTGGGGTATTTGGATGAAAATATTGTTCATTTTTCAACGGGGGACATGAGGGCCTCACTCAACAGAGTGTCTGGGCCTTCTATATCGGGAGGAGTCGTCTACAGCATAATCTATAGCTTCCCTAACTAACGGATTATCGTGGGTTTCTGCGCAATCAAAGACTTGGCTGAATGGACTAAAGGCACTCTGATCCAATGACAGTTCCCTTAACCTTCCCACACCAGACATCTTCAGTTTGACTTCATTATTTCTAATGTTTTTCGAATAATCATTATGCATGTTTTCGGTGTATCTGAGGGTTCTTATACGAGAGCACTATAAAGATTTCCACTTTTCGTGGTTCCAATTTTCAAGTTAGACCAATCCACAGCTAAAAGGAATTCTGGGTAACCCCCGGGGAAACCCCTAAATACTTAACTCTGATAGTTTTTGTTGAGTACCTATTCATTTTGAGTTGTGTTGCTCCAGAATTCTTCCGATATGGAGGTTAGCGGACATTTCTAGCATTTGTTCAATTTATACCGTGTTTTTATTTTTTTGAAAAACATATTCTTAGCATTCCAAACTTCACATCCTGTATCGAATTTCAAAATAGAGGTAGCGATGAAGTGGAAATAGAAAAAAACAAGAATATTGCAATTTCTGGTGAGTTATGTTGCGCCATCTCATAATGAGAAGTATAAACTATTATTTTATAAATGCTGGCACCAAGAAGATTACTGTTATCTTGTGACATATATTTTGCGTGGTTTGCAACATATATAAAAGTCCTTTCTATCACAGACTTATTTCTCTATATTCATTAGTACTCTCAACTCATTTCTCCTTCAAACATAAAAAATTGAGTCTATTTGTAGAGTTTGCAATTATTGAATCATATTAAAGTCCGTTTTATTTCACTTGTAATACTGCTATACATATTAATAACCTGTCATTCTCCAATGTTTTTTCTCAAACTTGATACCTATTTTTGTTCAAATCTTCAAGCTCCAATAACCTGATTTTAGTCACTTTCCATAGCACGAGATTTCATTTGTGTTTTTATTTAACATTATAATTAGCCAAAAAGATTTTGAATTAAAATTATTCAGAATAATTCATGCAACGTATTCCACATGAGGTTAATAAATAAACATGAAAGCTGATACATACACGCTCTGATATTCTAGCAGATCTAAGCAGATCACAAGAAAAATTCGACCTCTAACCTGCCTGATATGATTCATCCAATCAGTTACTAACTGAAAATAGTTGTTTGTGTGCTTATGATTGGCTAATCTAGAATATCAAGCAGTCTTTTGTTACGCGACAGCGGCATTGCCAAAGCTACTCTGTTAGAGTAGATGTCCTTCCAAGGATTATTTCGAAACAGCTTGACATTTTTTATTAATTACTCACCAGCTGAAAGTAATTATCCTTTGAAGGATAAGTTATAGTATGTTCTAGTATGTAGGAAACAGTGGAAAACATAATTTTTTTTCAGGTTTCTAATGGACCAAAATTTGTGGAACATCGCCTCACAAATCTTTCTAGTTTATTAATCTCTGAACTCCTAGACTTTCAATTCTTGATAAAATCAGACAAAAAGAAGATACCAAGTCGTACGAAATGAACGTACTTTTTTCATGAATCTAGACGGATGAAAAGAAACAAAAGATCAAAAATCGAATTCTTCTGGCAGCTAAAAGTAAGAACCTTTGTCTACCTTAATCCTCCGGACTATTTTTCAAAAGGAATCGGCAACGCTGTTTCAATGTAACTTGTCAGTGAACTTGAAGCATGAAATAGGTAATTCATTTTTCATTTCATTTCTATCACTTTGGTGCAGTTTTTCACAAAATGACTTCCCACTTGAGTAAGTTTGCTTTGGATAATATTTTCTACGTAATCCAGATAAATTGAAAACGTATAGGTATATGGGAATGAATATTGTGGGAATCCCAGAAAAACGTATGAATTTTTTCAAGTCGTGTTAAATTTCAAATCTTTTCAATATCAAATATTTTTATGCAATTTACATGAACTGAAAATGCATCTCATCTGAAAATGCAATCTCAAAAAACCGTTCGAATTTTCAACGTCAGGTTAAATTTTAAATTTTTTCCACAGTTGGATTAGAAGGTTGTAGATTTTCAAAGTTCAATAATCATTATTATCGAAAAATAGGTACTCATAGTATGTGAATTCTAGACTTTTGATAAACAAACGATAAAAAATACCTCAACAAAGTATTCCAAAGTGAATATTTTCAAACTTGTGTGATGAAGTCCAGTTCATTTTTGAACCAACATTCATAAAAAATTATAAAAATTTAGGTATAACTGGTAGTAATACTTTAAAGGAATAAGAAAGCAGTTTTTATCTTATACTTACATTTCGCTAAATCCTGATAAACAATTTACCTAATTTTTTTTATATCGTTTCAGCTCAAGAACAAATAACACTTCGAAGCAGACAACTGAATCCCTGTGACCATTTGTTCTGGAGAAGCAGAGGTTATGCAGAGAGACCAGATAACTGGGAAGGTAGGATCCATTTTTTTCATCAAACAGTTCAGTTTTAAAACACAGATCACGAATATTTTTGACTTACTTTTGTTTTCAGCTTGTATCACATCTATTTTTCTTGACCTTATTCGTCAATACCCTCAACTTATTTCAGACGATTTTAATCAACTGATTTACCATATTTAATCTCATATTTCTCAAGGAGAAAACCCATTTCAAATAACAAATTTGGTATTCTATGTTCTATTTGAGAAAATCAAGAAAAAAAATGATTTCTAATTTAAATTCACCCAGTATTAGAAAAAAGAATATGGTCAAATAAGATAGGAACAGTTCAATAGATCAACTTTTTGACGTTATTTTCGGAATAACTTCTGTACCGTTCAGTATATACCCATACAATGCTATATTTTTCAAAAGTTATTTTCTGTCAGAATCGAATAAGGAATGCAATAAATCTCAATCCATTTCGAAAAACATAGTTTTGATATCTGATTGATATCTATGACTTTTACACGAAACTTTTTGATAACTCTTTAATCTCAAATTAGCTCGATCTGATACACACTATATTTTTGTTTCAGATATATTAGAGGAGATTGGATACTATGCTAGTGGTATGTAGTACTATTATACGTACTCTGTTAGTACTGCATTCAAAACAATAAGTTGAATTTTCATTTTCCTCAAAAAATATTCATTCATTCATCAATTTCTATTTTGTCCAATCCTGCAATCCTGATATGCACCTTTTGCAATGTTCTTGGGCTCTCCCAGAAATTCAGTTTTCATCCCATCAATCGTCGCAGAACACCGTCCTTTCATAGGTATTTTCAATCTTGGAAATAATAAAAAGGCACATGGGGGCAAATCTGGTGAATACGCTGGCTGAAGCACAATTACGGTGTTGTTTTTGCCATGAATTAGTTTTCCACAATACCGGACGTTTTCTTTGTATTGCTTCTCGTAGGCGGTGCATAACCTTGACATTTGATCGTACTTGGTGTGTTTTTGTTGGTCTTGGCACTCCTGCGGGCCCTTCCATTGAGACTTTGGTTTCGATGTCATAACGGTATACCCATGATTCGTCACCAGCTATGACTCTTTCAAGCAAATCTGGATCGTCGTTCTGAGCGATGCTCATGCCATGTTTTTTTTTTGTTCAAAATCCAGCAATTTAAAAACGAACTTCGTTGACACGTTGGGCATGACACGCTTCATGCCCAAAATTTCCGAAAAATTATATCCAACCAATATGCCTACATCTTCAGCAACTTCTCTAATAGTGATTCGATGATTCTCCATAACAATTTTCTTCACTTTCTAAACTTTCGGTTGTTGATGTTCTGGAGCGTCTAGGCCGAGGATCGTCATTCACATCTTCTCGACCTTCTATGAAAAGCTTGTATCACTTTTAAACATTTTTCTGACTCAGAGTTAAATCGCCGTATACCACTGTCAACATTTCAAGTGTTTTTTGAGCACTTTATTCAATTCATTACATAAAAAATGATGAAAATTTTAATAATTTTTGTCGATAGCAGAAAATCGCCAAGCACGTAAAACATTTCTGAATTTTATGCCTCCCACCAACAAACAAAATATGCTAAACAGCTAAAACTGTGAACATATCTCCGAGACGAGTGTAGCAACATAAAGAAAATCGCTAATTGAATGTACGTAGCCCGCCAAATTTGAACATTCACCTTATTTTTTTAACACGCTTTTATTAGCTTCACCTGTATGTATGTATATATTTTTGATTGTTTGCTTGTAACTCTCAAGCTCGGGATCTGTATTTAACAGAACTATCGACATTATTATTGCTTTATCTATTCGCGGGCAGATGGCGCTGTACGTAACTTCCTTGTATTTCTTCATCTGAAAAAAGGATTTTTTTTTTATTAACACGCGCGTCTGCTGCCTTGTTTGTACCCTCCTTTGCGCGCCTGCTGCCTTGGTCTTGGTAGCTGATTTTCAGGCTCCCTTTCCGGAATCGGAAAATATCAATGGTAATTTTTCTAAACAATATACGGCTGATTGATCCCAAAGTTCAGATAAAATAAATATAGTTTAAGAAGCCTAAAAAAATCGAAAAGTTAAAAATATTTTTTTAAATAAGCTTAAAACAATAACGAACGAAAAATACTAGTATTATTGTTAAAAAAAGCGACGGGCGCTTGATATACAAAAAATATGGCACAAAGCGATGTTCTTTAAAAGCGTGTTATTTAGTTTTTTAAACTATATTTATTTTTTGAACAGCCTCGTATACCTTCTGCTGTTATTGTTTTCTCGTTTTCAATATGAAGTTCCAAATGCTAATATTATTAAATTATAAATGGAGATGGCCATCTAACATCTGTGGGTTTTTGGTGAGTTGGGTTACCACTAACCTCATCACAAATGCTGCCAAACTTTACCCATAGACAGTGTTGCTATACTGAGAAAAAATTTAGTCCCAAAAATTAGAATGCAGCATACCAAATTTCATGTAATGAGTATAACACTCACATTATCATGGTGAATGAGAATAAATAGAGTTTCACTAAACCCAAATAAATAATAGCGTATTTTTTGTAAATAACTGAGATATGGGACTCAGAAATCTAGAGACTTGAAAGAAATTTCACTACTCACTCAGTAGTCCACAAGTAGTCTTCAAAGTCAAACTTAATTTGCCCTCATTGCCCCCAAACGACAGCGCCATTTGTGGATGTCTTATGAACATTCAGAATAACCCGAATACAATCATATCAATAATAACACTTCAGTTGATAATGATTAAATTACTTGAAACTACTATCTTCAGATCAATAATGGTAATGAAAACAATTTCTAGAGGGCACACTGAAAAAAATGGAAGTGAAGTATACCGCCAGAGGTACGTATTTCGGTAGATCTGAAATCTGGGCATTTTGTAAGTTTCATTTGTAATTCCAAGCAAGTTTCAGAATTTTTCTGGGACTTTGTACATGTTGAAATGAAAGTATTTTCAAACTGACACATATGCGTGTTCCCTATTGAAGGTCTAGCTAGATAAACAGAGCAGTGCCGAATCTACTGCAGTTTGAGATAGACTCAACATTGTGTGGTCCAAGTAAAACAACATTTTGAAATCCTTTGGAGTTTTGAACCTTCCTCTCACTTTGGAATTTTTCCACAATCTTTTGTAAACAGGTGGAGAAGTATAAAGCCAAAACCTTTCTTCCTAAAAACCAATCTCTCCTGAAAATATACCCCTTACAATTCATATCATAATATGCTTTTAGATACTGAAGGATCTTACCATGAGGAAGAAAGTGAGTATGAAGAAGAAGCTGAATTTGAAGAAGAGAGTGAATATGACGAAGAGGAAGATTCCGCTGAAGAAGAAGAAGATTCCGAAGATGAGGAATATGAAGAGCATATGACAATTAGCAACGAGAATAATCCTAACAATGACGCGTTCTGGAGATTGAGAGGTTATAGTGAACGTCCTGATAATTGGAGAGGTGAATCTGTCTCAGTATCTTCAAACTCATAATAACTAAACTTCTTTCAGAACTCATTCCATGAGGAAAATGAGGCATTCCGACTACGGACACATATTTCACTATGAAATAATAAAAACAATTATTGGTGCACTTGAAACCTTTGAGAAGTGAAAAGTGGGGGGAAATTTAACAAAAGGTTTTGTTCAGCTTTCATAAATTCAAATACTAATTGAGGCTGGGATCTTGCCTAACTCAACACTAAAAAAAAAAATTTAACCCAAATGGGTAAAATTTTTTTGTATTGTAGAATTCAGTCTTAGTATTTGACATAATGAAGTACCTACTTGAAAAGATTCCTTGGCAAATTACCCCTCAACTTGGGTGTTTTCACTTCTCCAAGGTTTTTACGTGCACACCTAAATACAACCGACGGCATAACGCTAAAAGTCACTTTGCACTTCAGGACTATGAAAATCATATATTTTAAAATGTATAAAATGACCACCTAATTGAAAAAGTTTTTTCTATACATTATTATCATTTTCACTATTTTATGTAATAGAAAAGAATTCAGCGTTAGAAATCAGTTCTGTTAGCATGAAATAAAAAAAAAACTTTAGAAAAAGCGAGTCTTAATAATTGACTACCTGCTTCTCATATTAGATGTCTGAATAACCTCCAAATTCCAAATCGCCTCAATTGCTGAGGAGTTCCAGTGACAGAGGGCGTACATGGGAAATCTAACTTTCAGCGCCCTCACCGATTGAATTTTATCCTGTTCCGGTTACCCCGGTCACAGAAGAGGAAACAATGCCCGGTCCACATTCAGGTCAAATAAGTGCACAGACTCCGAACGAACCAAAGTCGATATTGATCAATAAGAACAAGAAGCAAGACGTGTAACAGTGTGAAGTACAAATAATGCATGTATGAATTTTTTCAGATAGGCTTATAGTTTTATTTATATATCCATATCCAAGATGACTTCTCATCTAAGTAAGTTTGATTCATATTCTAAGTTAATTCTTACAAAGTGAGGGATTCCCAGAAGAACATATTTATGCCAAGGTATATTCGTATTTCGCATGTTTTCAGTTGTAAAATTTTGTTTTCCTTTTGTTGCTAATGCAAATAATTACACATGCACATAGATATGAAGTATACACACAGTGGCTCAAAAATTTATTTGTGATGCACTGTTTGGAACCTTAGGTATAATATTGAATCCAGACCTAATACTTGCATGACTCCATAACTGAATATGTTCATATTGAAGAAAATCTAGTATGCATTTCGTTGAACAGTTGACATCTACTTGTGATGCACTGTTTAGAACCTTTGGTGTAGTTTGAGTTTTTTCCCAACACCAAACCTGTATTATAAAACCTCCACACCAAGTGATCATCTTCATCTCCGAAAATTTACCGCAAAAAGCTTTACAGGGCGTGAATAACTTTTCGGTAAAATCCACCCGTCAAGTTTGTTCGGGGAATAGGGATCAAGTGATACCTTATTAAGAAAGGATTTTCATCCCATCTATATTGTAGCTTGATTTTCAAAGATAGATCCACTCTTTTATAAAGTATAAAAGTGTACTATGTGCCCCACAAAAAATCGAAAGGACATAAATTGGTTCATCGAGAAGGCCACACATTGCCCCCTTGTGTTATTTAATAATCACACATATTTTGCGATTAATATGGAGGAGCTCTGTTTCATTAGAAAAGCATATTCTGCTCATTGTACGTAGGGTCGTTCTATGTGATAGTTGTTAGAGCTAGGCCGATGGCATTTTATAGTAGATCAATGTATATATCGCCTGTTGAATTGCCAGGACCTACACTGAATTTCCACTAAAATACCTGCATTTACATTAAATTTTTGGAGATGTGTATTTGGCGGAAAAATCTTTGGATTAGTATCCCAGTAACGACAGTTATGGCGATTCAACAAACAATTTTAAAAATACAGTCGTCCCAAAAACAGACATTAAATGAGAAATTACAATTGAAGGCTCGTTCACTGAATATTTCGTAAAATTACAAGCGACGGACAGAGTCGTCGTTATTAAGTTATTGTTAATACACTTGTATCTATTGGGTCGGCATCAGGTATAGACAGGTAAGTCGACACTAGTAATTTACACCCAGTTGTATAATAATAAATCCCATATCAAAATAAGTCCTGTTTCATTGCGAATACGATTATATAGGGCTGCCTACGAATGACCTGGCCTGAATGACGGTTGGCGAGCTTGAAACATAAAACTTTGGTGCCTCTTTCACGGCTCAGATGGTTGCACGTGCGTATCAACCTTATATCCCTAGGGTCACAGACAGAATTAGAAAACTATTGGGTATACAACATTAAAACTATTTTCAAACCCACTAAGAAGATACAACAAAGTCTCAGGTCGGCTAAAGACAAGAGAGAGAGCCACTATCAGTGCACTTGTGGGAAAGTATATATCGGGACCACCAAAAGATCCATGGGAACAAGGCTGAAGTAGCATGAAAGAAACTGCAGACTAGGTTAAACGGACAAGTCGGCTGAGGTGGAACAGGCACTCAGTGACGGAAACCACAGGAGTCTGTTTGAATACACGAAACTCATCGCCCCCAACCAGGGATACCATAGCCGACTGGTAAGGGAGGCAATAGAGATCCACAAACACGCGGATAATTTCAACAGAAAAGAAGAAGCTTTGAACCTCAACCGAATATGGAATCCCATTCTAAGAAGTTCAAGAATAGGAAACAGCATGGCAGGTCGAAAAGGGTCGACGAATGTTATTAACAATTTACCTAATCCAAGAACAGGTATCAGAACACGAAACTACCTGAGTCAACATGAACAGGCTTTACGCAATTTACCTAAGCCATGTCAACATAAATACGCCTTACGCAGACGTAATATATAATGGTAGCCGGGCGGTTCGACGTGGGTGCTTTGTTCACTCACTCAATCGGCCGATGTGTGAGTCAATGGTTCAAGCCCCAGGCTGAACGCTCGATTTTCACTTGCTATCGTCTAACCCGTGTTAGGAATCACACGTTAAAAGGTAAGAACTCGTTAGTCCTTAGCTCGCACAAGTTTTTACTTCTGAGGGTTGTCGTTCGTAGGGGTGCAATAGTCGGTTAACGGAAAAAACATTTTAAACATATTTTATCGGATGTATACACCTCTGAGGAAGCTAGCGACTCGCGCCAGCGAAACTTCAGGAAAAAATTCCAAAAATTGACGGCTTTCAAACCCAAAACATAGTGATACAGATTAAATTGAGACAATGTACTTACTACTTATTATAACGTACTATTCATTGTCAGTATATGGTAATAAAAAATGATTGAAAAGTGTTTTTATGATTTTAACGACTCTGTGATTGAATATAACGTTGAAACTTATTATCATAAATTATATAAGAAATGAAAAAAGTTGCACCAATGGTTTTTTAATTCTCGTCATATGTTGGCCAAAAAATTGCGACATTATGCATGACGATATTTTCATTCAATGGTATGATAAAACATTTCATTAAAATCATTTTTCATTTCATATTCCAAAAGATAACTTCTAGGTACACGTTATTACTTCTACCGCTGAAGAAAGGCCAAAATCTTTGGATTCTCAATTCTCAAGGCTATAGAGCCAGTTGCTCTAAAATAATACTCAGTATTCACTAGTATATCGCTATCCTTCTCAATTACACGGACAAGTAGTATACACACTATCTTTCATTCGAGGGACGCACCGCACACATACGGGACAGTTCTTTCGGACCTATCTAAAGAAATGAACTTTAAATGTTCAAGCCCGTCTCGGATATACCTACACAGTAGGTTGAATGGACTGACGCCTATCAGAAAACAACTACTCCACTGGCTAATACCACGAACGGCGTTGGATTATACCCGACAGGCGTCAGTGCAGGAATCTTCACAGAAAATTTCCTACATATATGCAATTGACAATACAACTGAAAGAGTCGACCTTCAATTTTGGAACAGGCACACTTGCAGACCGGTTTCGGGCTCCTTAGCCACTGGTCAGTGCAAAATAGTGACCATCATCGACCTACAGTCAATAATATTTCATAAATTCTTTCAGAGTACTTCATTCCTCGTCTTGAGTTGGAGCGAACATCAAAAATGTCACCCCATCTAGTGGACGAGGTACGAACCAACTGCATATCCGAAATTTGGCCGATTCCTCTGAATAAGGAAGAAAAACTTTCTTATTAGTCAGTTGGCTATGCTTGAACACAGGCAGTCAGTAAACAAATCTAAACAAATGAACTTTAAATGTTCAAGTCCGTCTCGGATATACCTACACAGTAGGTTGAATGGACTGACGCCTATCTAGTACCACGAACGGCGTTGGATTATATCCGCCACTCGTCAGTCACTATTTTGCACTGACGAGTGACTAAGAAGCCTGAAACCGGTCTGCAAGTGTGCCCGTTTCAAAATTGAAGGTCGACTCTTTCAGTTGCATTGCCAATTGCATATGCAGGAAGTTTTCTGTGAAGATTCCTGCACTGACGCCTGTCGGATATAATCCAACGCCGTTCGTGGTATTAGCCAGTGGAGTAGTTGTTTTCTGATAGGCGTCAGTCCATTCAACCTACTATGTAGGTATATCCGAGACGAGCTTGAACATTTAAAGTTCATTTCTTTAGATTTGTTTACTGCCTGTCTTTAAGCATAGCCCACTGACTAATAAGAAAAGTCTTTCGGACCTCTTTGTCTGACAATCTCTGAAATCCCACTGATTTAAACAACCATTTCATCAATTCTATACTATTTCATAAGCCTGGAGTACTTATTTCTCAGTGTGAGAAAAATACAGGTCATATTTAATTCAACAATGTATGTCCCACTTCAAAAGTATAGAGATAATTTGTTTGGATATTTACCCTACCACAATCTAAAAAATAAACAAAAGTGAATCATTAGAGAATTTGCTGACGGGTAATAAATAATAAACAAGGGAAGAAGTATTTACAAATATTACCTACAAATCGAATGAACTGTGTAAAAAATAAAATTAAACGATGGTAAACGTTCCGGAAAGTAATCCTTCATCAAAAACTTTTGTAAATAACACCCCAAACCATATCAGGTATATTTCCTTTGCCAAGC